AATAACATACATTTTATAACATAATACTTATTATTAAAAATTACTTTTACTCATATAATATATACAATATATATTGGTATATTGTTAAAAAAATATGAGTATAAACCAATGTTTAAAAATCCGGATCGAACCGGCCTGTTGGACCGGTTGGACCGGGAACCTGTGGTCCAGCCGATCCGAATCTTAAGTTGGATCGGTTATGCAGTCGACCCGTTTCAAACCGAATTGAACCGGTCAATTTTTCGGTTCAACAGGTGAACTGGTAGGTCAAACCGATTCAACTACTTTTTTTTATTTTTTTTAAAAAATTTAAGAGACCATAAACCACAAAAATAATAATGAAAATTGAATCTCTTAATGAAAGAACAAAGATTCTTATTAAATATAACAATGACTACTTGTTCTAATGTATTTATTTATAATATATACAACTTAAATAACTTTTATAGTATATTATTAATTTTAAATTATATATTTAATAATATAATATTTATGTAGATATTACATATATTATTTTGTGATATCAATTGCAAACATATTATATATGTTCATATTATTTATATTTTTAATTTGTATTAATATACAGTTTACCATGTAATTTTTTATATATATTTTTTATAAAATAAAAATAATTTTTTTTAAATAAGATAGAAAAATTAAAATTTAAAATAAGATATGAATTTATTAAAATTTATAAGTATAAAATATATTTAATATGAATATTTTTTAATAAAAATAAATAAAAATCGAGTCATGTTGTTCAACTAGTGACTTACCGGTTCAACCTTTGATCCACTGACCTAGTACTTTAACCGGTTTGATGACCGGTCCAGTTTTTAAAACTATGGTATAAATTATAGTAATACACAAAATATATTAAGTCTAATTTAGAATCAATACTAAAATTGTGTATAATTATATATCAAATACATATATACTTACACATATTATATTTATAATAACTTTTTTGCATGTTACTATATATATATTTCTTATAGTGATATTTTGGTATCCACATTTTTTAAATTTTTTTACCTTTTAACTAATTTATTGAAATATATTTTTACTCTTTAACTAATTTGTATAACTGCACCACTATTTTAAAGGTAAGTGCACATTTTATTACTTTTATTTTATTTTATTTTCATTCTTTTATGATGAGGTTTCATTAGTTGTCATAAACCGCGTAAATCACTTGCCACAACCCACAAGCTTTCTTAATGAAATGAGCAACAAACGGGAATGCATTTTCTTGAGATTTTAACTGTAGGTAATGCCAACAATAACTCCATTGACTCTATCCTTTCTTGTAATGTCTGTAAGATAAATAATAATAAATAAAAAAGTTGTCTCTAAATATAACTTTTAAGAAAAAAATAGTTTATGCATTTATAATACAAAACAAAAAAACATGGATATCCAATAAATATCACCATGTTTGATAAATTTATTGAGTTTTATAAAAGAAAAAATACTTAAAATGAATTCATATTTATCATAATTTTAACTTGATTATTGATGTAAAATGTTTTACCTTATTATTGCGCAGAAATTAAAATCAGCATTTAAAGTTATTATTATTATTATAAAACAATAATTAATATTTACTATGAAATTGAATTCTGTAGTAATTGAAATGTGACAAATGTTAATTTAGTCCTTGGATTTAACGAAACAAAAAGATAGTTCCTGAATCCCATTTGTCATTCAAGTTTAATCCTTCCATTAAGTCTTATATGTTAACTGCTTTAACAATCAAATCAAATTTTATTGGATATTATTTTTGTTGTCACTCTTATTGTTTTAATACTTGCATTAAATTTTTAATAATTTATTATTTATGCTTATCAATTCTCTAACGATCAACATAAATATTTCTATTGATGTTGTTATTATTGCTATTTTTTATTATTATTAACATTTATTAATAAAAATGAAAATAAATAACTAATATATAGGATTAATAAAACATTGTGATAATTTATTAAGGATTTAATAATAACGTACTAACAATGTAAAATAGTTCCACTGACATTCAATCATAAATTAAAAGTTGGGTTGTGAGGGTGTGTTTGTGGATTAAGTTGGATTGTGAGAGGGTGTGCTAGTGGGTTAGGTTGGACTCTAGAAGTTCAGCCCAATAGCTTAGCCAAATCAGCTCATAAGTTTGAAGGGTTAGAGTGAATGCCTCAATTTTATGTTTTATTACCTAACGCTTCAAAGAGTGTTCCCAAAAGCAAACCTTAAGGAACAACATTCAGAGACGTTAGACCACAACTTTTCATTTGAGATTAACATTTGAGGTAAAATGGGTAGCGACAATTATATCATGTATGGGCATGAATTGTGAGTAGTGAGGTGATTCCCGAGTTTGTTTAGGTTTATATATATATATATATATATATATATATATATATATATATGACTAGAGGGATTATGAACATCTCAAGGAGAGTTAAAAACATTTGGAAGTTAGGGAGTACTGAAGGAGCATGCATGTGCTCAATGAAAGCAATCCCATGCAGTTTCTAAAGATTTTGAGGTTTACATAAGAGTTGTATTTTTGGATAGTTTTTAAATATCATTAGAATCACTCAAAGAGGAGATTTAGAACTTAAATTATGATCATTTTAGTGAACAAAAGTCGAATTGTCAACATTAGACAAAAATGTCACAATTTTATAATTTTAAACAATAGTTTATAAAATCATAACTACAAATCAATATAAAAATTGTAAATAATTGTCTTAACTTTCCAACAATATAAAAACCACTTGATAACATATGCATAACTCTAAAAATTGTGTTTAGATCACATGTGATCATAAAAGCTTAAGATGAGATAAAAAAAAATTAGGTAACAATCGTAACATAATATTTTTACCGTAGTAACACATTCCTTTTAACTTGGGAATATTATATTCCCACCTATCCTCATGGAATAATTTGGTGCGGAAAACTTGTATAAAAAGCATTATCGAGAAACCTTGTTTCCCAAAAATGTTATTTTTTAGATGATAAATCAAATGTGAAAGACTAACATTTTGAACTTTAAATTCTTGAAAGAGTAAAAACAATTCGCGTATCAAATGTCTTCAAAGAGTACTTGAAAGGAAAGAAAAGGGTAGAGCTGGTTACATAATTAATAAATTATATTCGTACTTGAAAGTGTAAAACTTGAATATAGAGAGCGTAAGGTACTTCAAATAATTTTTACAACGTTTGAACAAAATGACCTAGATGTGAACTAATGATTATATGCATTAAAAATGATCAACCCAAATCTACCTGAAAAATATCATACAACAAGAAAGGAAAAAAGTAGAGTAAGAAAAAGAGCTTGTTTATGGTCTCACAACTATACTCATATATCATCTATTTATGCAACAATGACACCAACAATATACATAGTGTCCTCTTGGGATCCTCCACTACCATTTTCCATACATTATACATCTTTTTGAAGCATTTCAATAAAGTTTTAGTTTTTCTGTAAATGTTGCTAGATAGCAGCCTACAAGCAAGACATAGAAAAATATCTCCACATAACTCAAAAACAAAAGCAAATGTAACAAGGGATTTAGGAATCCCTTCAAACAGTAGGATAAACCCAAAAAGTGAGTCAAACCCCCTCCCTTACCTCCTTATGCAAAAGCTTCTAATGCATGTAACAAGAACGAAATCTCCTTGCAAGCTCCAAAGTGCTTCTATGGAGAATAAAGAAGAAGAAAAGAAATAAAAAAATTGAAATGAATCAAAGAATAATAAGGATAGATGTGGGAGAACTCACCTTTAAGGAGAACCAAAGGAAGTTTTTTTTTTATTATTATTTTTTTATTATTTTTATAATTTTCTTCTTCCTTACAATGTTGAGTCTAGTTAGGATTTAAGTGAGACCCACGTATGGTCTCACTTAGTTTTGGGTAAATTAAACTCCTTTAACCACCTTTAACTTCTCTATCAATTGTCAACTTAACATTTGTATTTTTTAATTTTTTTTGAAATTATTTATTTTATCCCATTTCACATTTTTCTACAATTAATTATGACATACAAAATAAGTAATTATTAAAAAAAAATATATTTTCTATTTTATATTCTACTTTTGAATTTTTAGGTGTTACACATTCAACTAGGTAGGCTTGTGTGATTCTCTCTTAGACCTCACTTCTACTTTCTCACATATTGGGCTTGTGGGTCTAACACGAATTCATTGTTTATGATTATAAATTTATTTAGATAAACTTTTTAAGAAAAAACTTCTAGAAGATAAAATTAGGAAGAAAAAAATGAGATAAAACTTTTGACAAACTAAAATTAATTTATGCATAAATTAATTTGTATAAGTTATCTTCTCTAAAGACTTATTTTTAACCTATATATCAATCAGTTTTAACTTATGAAAACTTTTGTTTTTATTTTTCTTAGAAGAAAAGTGTTTTTAGGACTTTTATTAACATAATAAAAATACAATTTTTGTCGGGTACCTCGATAAAATACACAACAAAAACACATTTTTGTGAAAGAAAATATAAGTGTGAGAATAGCAAAATATGTGTGAGAATAGCAAAAATGTGTGTGTGAGAATAACATGCGCAATCTCTAATTGCTAGGGAAAGATATTTCTGT